GCGCTGTTATGCTGCAGTATGCAGGCTTTGGGGTTCATCCGTCTAGTGTGTGCTTTTCTGCCCAAACTCTGTTACTCGGGGTTCTATATATGACTTCATATGTCATAAGTATCATTAGCATCTTAAATATCCACCCAGGGATGTGTGCATTAATGCTGTAATGAGTGCTGCAACTCCTACTTATGGATAAAGTACCAAATTTGCATAAGCAAAGCCTTACAGTTAAACCCTAATCTAGCAAAAATTAAATTGATCAAATTCTTGATTTATTTTTAATTTTTTTTATAACGACCTATAGGGTCACCTTCAGACACCCCGGAGTGTCTCTGTGCTTCTGTCATTGGCCTGATTTAATGGAGGCAGAGTTGTTACCAGTCTTACTCCTTTCCAAACTATCTTTTTCTTTGCAATATGGTAATTTTGTAAAGTTTTGTGTAAAACCTTCTGGTCTGAAGATGGTTTGGCTTTACTACATCATATCAGATCAGCTGATACTGAGATTTAATGAGGAGCCTGCCTGAGAGAGATGGAGATACAGGGGTGGCGAGGCAAGGCTTGGCCTTGGTACCCTTCTTTTATCTACAAAAGGAGAAAAGGAAGGAGAGACAATTGGACAGGAAGAACCCGAGAAGGTGCTGTAGCTATGGGAGCCGAGAGACACGGACATCCCCATATGAGACAGAAGCAAGTTCTCACACCTCACATGTCATTGTGGTTTGAATATTCCAGCTCGATGCCTGGAAAGATCTGCTCACCTCTAAGAATTTCTCTTGAAGCATATCTGAGCAAAGTTGCCTTTTGTTGTCCCCAAGATGCAGCCCAAGTGACCCAACTTTGCTGGTTCCCATCTGACTCCTCCTGAGGGACAATCAAAAAGGATGCAGTCAGTGTGATAAATTGTGTTCACAGTCACTGCAGCTAGCACGGAGGCTGCAACTTACATGCAGCCAATCCCTCGTGCATAGTCATTAATTAGCCAGATCCTCGTGAATACATTTTCTGGCCTCGGTGGTCACAAGATTAGTCTCTTTCAGGAGAAGCTGGAACGTCATGTGACTGCAACCTCCATGAGCCAAGGTTGCTGCATGTGACATCTCTAAGTCACAAGTGAGCGAGGGAGTATCAAGAGACATCCAAAGGGCTGGAAAGATAGCTCAGCTATTAAAGGAAAAGACTCACAACCAAAACTCTAAGGAACACCCAAAACTATTTGTTACCCATGTTCCAAGCATATTTTTCTCTGCTTGGTTGGAAAAGGCATCCTCTCTGTTATCAATGCTCAATGTCAGTGGTCTATTCCACTATGCAGATGCTTCCTGTTTGATTTATTTGCTTATTTATTTGTGTGGTATTATCCATACGTGGAATCACCTATACCTGCGTCTGTGGAGGCTATATGTCAATATCTGGGGTCCTCCTCTATCACTGCCTCTCTCTTTCTCATTGTTTTTCTCATTGTTTTTCTAGTGTGTTATTTCCTCAACACACTTCATGCATCATAGTATGTTTTCTCATCAAGAAGATCTCAATCACACACTACTGTAGCTATCACATGAGGTGCTTAATTCCCTACTTAAACGAGGGGCATGCATACCCACACAATGCAATATCACTTGCTGCATCTTCCTGTTGCTGAATGTATCTCTTGGTGTAATCAGCAGAATGTAAACCAAAGCTTACACACCACATATGAACAACATTCTTAAGAGGGCGGGTCACTATGTTTTAGTTATGGCTGCTTTTTCTATGTCAGAAGAACATCATGACCCCAAAGTGGCTGATTATAGAATGAAGACAGAATGTGAGCTAGAGCTACAACTAATGAACCATTGCCACTTCATGATGACCCAAATAGATCTGCCTAGGTCTGTGGCATTTTTGCCTTGCATTTATTTCTTCTGTCACTTTGTAAGAGCTATTCTGAGTGATAACAGCTCTTTTTAGGGTTCTGGATTGACAACATTAGAAATAAATGGATGAATTTCTAAAGGCCCAAACTCACAGATCATATTGACAGACACTGATGCGATTCTACTGTTTTGATTCTACTGTTACCCTTAGGATGGGATATCTTGCAACAGGCGTGTTAAAAAACACACACAGAGATATGCAGCAGATTCAGAAACTAATTAAAAGCTTCACTGCACGGTCTGCAGTGTCCTTTGGACTCAACGCCCTTCTAAATCTCTTGCAAGCAGCTGTGTCATTATGCTTAATGCTTGCCCTTAACCTTGACTTGAACAAAGGCCTATGTACATGTAACTCACTCTTAGCCACATGTTCTCATTACGTATTCACTGCCAGGTGGAACTAAACTGGCATCTTTATACCTGCTATTGTTTGAAGCTCACATTGTATTTCACTTGGAGGAAGTGTTACTGTACATACCAGGATATTTATGAGCAAAAGCAGCATTACACAAAATTGTTTCATGCCGACAAATAGGTAATCCTGACACTAAGCAGCAGGGCTAATTATCTGGCTGGGAAAAGGTGCAGGCTCTATTTAGGTCAAAGGTAACAGATAAATTGCTGCTACAATTATTTCTAGTAACTGTCTCATAAATGCCTGTGTGCATTAACACATGCATAGATCTCCCTAGGTGAGCATGTTCCTGGCAAGGAAGCAGCTGTCTAAATAAATCTTTAAAGCAGCTTTTGTTCAGTGATACAACGGAAACAAGGAAGAGACACGCAGATGAAAATAATTTAAGGCAAAGCTAGATGAAATCAAATATCTCATCTTCAAAGACATGTCATCACCAAGTGAAATCTTCCCATATGCTCAAGACTCCTCTCCCCACCACTAAGCCCATTTTCCCAGAAATTCTTAATGGTTTTTTCCACAAAACACTCTCTGCAAGTGTCTCATTTGTGTCTTGATTGATGGTCTTGAAGCAGACACAAAATTAAAATGCACAGAAACATTAAACGGGTTGTTTCCTGTCTTTGTATGAAAATCCACTTAGCTGACTTGCTGAAACTACCTGAGTCTTGCATGCCCGTTGCCCTGCTTTATCCTTGCCATCCATGTTACTAAGACGTCATATTCAGTGTCTAATTATTAAATCAAAATATTAAGCAAGAAATGACAGAAATAAGAGTTGTGTTTGAGTAGCAAATTATTGTTGTGAGTAAGTGCTAGACTCAAACTGTAGGGATCTTATTGGGTCTTCTGGATTTTCCCACAGAGTACATGCATGTCTCAAAAGTCCGTAGTTCAGCAGTTCAGATACTTATATGTTATGATTTGTAACAGTAGCAAAATTACAGTTATGAAGTAGCAATGAGAATAATTTTATGGTTGGGGTCATCATATGAGGAACTGTATTAAAGGGTCATAGCATGAGGAAGGGTAAGGACTACTGCCCTAGTTGAAGATGGAAAACATTTAAGTTCTCAGTATTGTACCTATTGGAATTTGTTTTTCAAAAATTAATTTATTCATTTGTTTACTTATTTATTGGGGTTTGACGTTGAAATTCCACGTAAAAGAAATGCTCTACTATGAAGATACACTCACCAACCTGAAATCTTAAATTTATGATGAATATCATAATGGTATGAAAGACAAAATAATAGAATTCAAATCTTTAAGTTGCATCAAAAATCAAGATAAAATCATAGTTTACTATTTCTAAATAAGTCTGTATACTAGAAAGGCAGATTCAACAGACTTACAAAATTTGTGTACTCTGAGTTACTTTTCACAAGTTCACACATTTCAGTGAAATACAAATACTATATACATGATTTTTCTTTTAGCTGTTCCTTTTAGTGGATGAGCTTGGTAGATAGAGAAAGCTCTAGGAAACTCCTCTAAAAGTCCACGTACATATTCATGGTGTTTTCTTCATAAAGAGTCACCATTGTGTACAGTATAAATATCCTAAGAAGCATTTTCTCTGTAATTAACTGAACTTCAAACTACATTTTTCTAAATCTTCATATTTTCCTTAGTGAAACCTAAAACATATTAAATTTGAAAAGTCTTTACATCCTCAATACTTAGGATGTAGAGTCACATCAGGATGAAGTCTTTTATACGTCATTAAATGTTTCTAATCTGTGAGGTGGGGCTCACTGCTTGTTGGTATCAAATGTTTGACATCATGCGATGGGGGATGTTTCTAGAGAACAAAGGACAGACAATTCAGTCCTCAGTCTGAAACTTGTTTCCTCAGCCCTTCTTCTACTGCACTTGTTCTCCTGTCTTCCTCTATGCAACTGTCTTCCGGTCTCCCTTCTTAGATGTTTCTTTCCTTCTTCCTTCCTCCTTTCCCTTCTCCCCCCCACCCCCACATTCCCTCCCTCTCTTCTTGCTCTGTCTTTGGGTTTCATTTCTAGTCTTTTCCCTTCTCCCACTTTGTCTTCCTTTGTCCCTCTCTCCCCTGTTCTCTCTTCCTTCCTGAAGACTTACTGATCCTCTCTCGTCTTTGCCTTTGCCTTTTTCATTCTCTCTGTCCGGTCCTTATTAACAGAACCTTTCCTGCTCATGTTAATTCCATTTTTTCTCAACATGTTAAGCAGGCAATTAAATTAGCGATGGTTTTGAAAAAAAGAATGGTGACCAGTCACTTAATGGAAGCTGATCTAGAGAACATAGTCACCAAATTTTTGTCTACGTTTCATGCCATGAGACAAGATTCAACTAAAAGTACTTTTAAAAAAAGTGTGGTTGAAGATAAAATCTGTTATGTAGGATTTTCTCCCATAGGATAGTAAGTCCATCGGGAGGTACAGGTGTCTTTAGATGTATGTTAGCCTTTCTGATTCTGATCAAATTGTTTTGGTTTTACTTTCAGAATTTGACTTAAAAGTATAGACTGCTTTCATTTCATTTAAGACTGGTTATGTGTCAACCCCTTGCAAAATGGTGTACTTCAACAGTGAGAATGTTCACCTCTGAAAATTCTGGTGAAAAGGCTGGTGGTGTCTGGGCTTTCAAGTATATCCTGGCTGGTTTTTCTCCTCACAAGTGGTCTCTGGTTTCTCTTACAGCATAGGGGGAGACGTAGGGCGAGGCCAGGACGCCAGCTACGCGGGCAAGCATTTCCGCATGGGGTTCATGACGATGCCTGCTCCACAGGACAGACTCCCACATCCCTGCTCCAGTGGATTCACTGTGAGATCTCAGTCCCTGCACTCCGTCGGGGGCACCGAGGACGACAGCAGTTGTGGATCCCGGAGACAGCCACCTCCCAAGCCCAAGCGAGACCCCAGCACCAAGCTTAGCACTTCATCTGAGACAGTCAACAGCACTGCAGCCAGTAAAAGTGGGAGACCTCTGGAAAGGCCAGAAGGTAAACTTACCATGCCCACTTCCCAGTCATCTCCAAGGGCTTCAGCTTCCGGGAACCTGTTTCCTTCTCCTGAGTCCCAGGAAAGAAACATTAAGGGTAGGAGTCATTATGGTGTGGTGTCAAATGACACCTGATCGTACTTAACATGCTCAATGAGAAACCCAGATAGTACAGGTGATGCAGTTCAGTAGTGGAGGGCCTGGGTGGGTCCCCAACTTCAGTCCTCAGTTAAAAACAAAACAAAAACAGACAAGGTAATGTGTCATCATTATGGACCCTTTAAGGCTTTCAATCATTCAAAAATTAGTTTTTGATGTATATCTACTATTTATATTTTCTTACTTGTATTATTTTGCTATTTACATAGTTAAAAAACATGTTGGGTGATTAATGGAATGTTTTATGGTGGAGATATTAATATGGGAAAAATATGAGGCAAAATTTATGATCATACCTTTAAGAAATAACCAAATTTTACATCATTTCCTTCCTTGTGTATAAGTAGCAGCTAAGTATTTCAGTCTCTGCTTTGTCAATCGTATTTCTTCCTTTGTAGTAATTTTCCCCTCAGCTATGAGATACGCAAATCAAACATAGCTACTGTGGGTATATGAATACAAATTTGGCCTAATATCTCACAAATCCCTTAGTTCTTCTTGAATAAGGAAGCCCATGGCTTACTTGAGCTTTTCCCCAAAGCTTCTTGGTTGAAGTGGCATACAGGGTGAGCTTTGACACAGCTCTCCCAGTTCAGGCTGTTATAGCAAATTGCCTTTGACTGACTGGTTTACAAAGAGTGGCAGTTCACTTCTCCTGCTCTGCTTAAAAGCTCAGGAGCCAATGTGATCTTGGAATAGAGTTCCCTCAAGTCTCCGGAATCCTGTCCTCTCATATTCTTGCCTTGTATGACATGCCACTGAGTCTAGGAATCTTAAATAATCTTAAGCTCTGACCTTGGAGCCCTGTTACCTTCCCAAGTCACCATGTTACCTCCCCAAAATCCATCACACTGAGCTTAAACTTTTAACACTTTAATTTTGGGAAACACAACATTGTGCCCCTTGTTTCAAGCCATTTGAGGGTTTGTGTGTCAGCTGTGAGGCATGCCTCCGGGTCTCCAATGCAGCCAGTGGTGAGTCAATAGCAGACCTCTGCCTAGCCCTGTGGTCTTCCTTCTACCCGGCCCATGTCTGAGTTTGTAGCTTCCCTGAATGCCAGAGTACCACGTTTTAGGTCTGTTTGTAATGAGAGGAAACAGTGGCATCTTTTTCTCATCTGATAATTCTTTGCCAAATGAGATTTCCAGTTCTTCCTGAAGGTTCTGGCATGCCTCTTGGCCCAGGAGTTCACATGTGGTCTGAGAGATAAGATGCCCGTGGGTAGCATGTCATCGTTTCCTCCACTCTTCTCACAGCTTTCTCCTCACTGCCCAAACATAATCTCAGTGAATTGTTAAGTCATGTAGACCAATGCCTAGAAATAGAACAAGTCCTTTAATTTTAAAAAGACAGGCTTCTTCTTTAATAATATTGTTTGTTCACTCCTAGACTCTGAATCTCTTTTTGCATGATTCTAAGTAAGAAATGTGTCCTGCACCTTGTGCACAGTATGTTTATGCTTTTAGAAGCAACAAATGTTTAGTTTCTTTATTAATAAGAGCTGGGGAATGGAACTTTTACAAATTTTAAATATTGTTTCTCAGTTTCATGAAATATTTAAACATGGTGTCTTTCATTTCTCTTTAGTCTGTGTGATCCTATGTCTAAATTCAACTATCTCGTGTTTCTACTTACAGAACTACATAATCGATTATATTAGGTTTCTTGACAAAGAAAATTAAAGAGTCAAGACAGGAATCTCTGAGCAATAAGGCCTAAACATAGTCCAGAGTGATTCAAAAATTAAAGAAAAGGTGTACAGAGCGGGGCATGTGCACTCATAGCATTTTGGAGACTTAGATGGGGAGATCCCAAGTTCAAGACAAGCCGTGAAAATAGAAAATTTCAAGATAATTTAGGCTGCAGAGATGGAAAGGGCTGTGCCACACATCCATGTGTGCGACACATCCAACTACTGGAAGGAACGCAGTACGCACACATCAGAGGAGCCCTACTAAGAGGAGGGGAAAGTGGAGTGTGAAACTAGGGGCACAAGTCATGACAACTTGCTCTTAGAAGCAATACCTGGATGAATGTCAATCACCTTGAAATGGAATACATCTACATCCACTTGTAATGCATTGAGTGACCAGATCCTGAAAGCTAACATTTTCTCTCAGGTAGTGTCACTGACTAAGTATCAAGTGTTCCTCAGGGATAGTTATCAAGCAGAGAGTAACCCTTTAGTAATTGCTTTGTTTCTTAAGGCAGACATGAGAAAGTGACTCAGTTTCTCTGGTAAGGACTTAAGTTAGAAAGTTAAACATAAAAGTTACTTGAGGGTCCGGTTTGATCAACTGCTCCATTAGTCCCAGTCCAGCTGGCCTTGGTGAGCTCCTATTAGATCAGTCCCACTATTTCAGTGGGTGGATGCACTCCTCGCGGTCCTGGATTCCTTGCTCATGTTCTCCCTCCTTTTGTTCCTCGTTTGGACGTTGGGAGCTCAGTCCAGTGCTCCATTGTGGATCTCTGTCTCTATCTCCATCCATCGCCATATGAAGGTTCTATGGTGATATGCAAGATATTCATCAGTGTGGCTATGGGACAAGGCAAGTTCAGGTACCCTCTCCTCTGCTGCCCAAGGAACAAGCTAGGGACATCTCCTTGGACCTGGGAACCCCTCTAGAGTCAAGTCCCTTGCCAACCCTAAAATTGCTCCCTTAATTAAGATATCTACTTCCCTGCTCCCATATTCACTCTTTCTCCATCCCAACCATCCCATTCCCCCAAACTCTCCCCAGTCTTCCCCTTCTCCCTTCCCTCTGTGGCTGTCAATGAGGGCTGACTGAGAAGCCAAGGACAACGGCATTGGGTTTTGATTCTACTGCATGGACTGGCTTTGTGGGAGCCTGGTTTGTTTGGATGCTCACCTTCCTAATGGGATGTGGGGAGGAGGTGGGAATTTTTAGGAAATAATAAATAAATACATACATACATACATACAATTTTAAGAAAAGTTACTTGAGGGGGTCTGTGACTTACAGACCATTAGGTCCAAATGCAATGTTTCTCTTCAGAAAGGATCTCTCAGCTGTGTGGGTGGTGATGGTTTAAGTCCAATAAATGGCAAAACACCATTTGCTCTGCAAATTTACCTTTCTCTCTGGAACTCATGAGAAAGAGACAATTGCAAAGCCATATGCACCCAACAGTCTTCTATAAGTTACTAGAATAATAAGGGCAGGGTTGAATCAGGGCCTAGTTGAGAGATGGGAGGAAAACTCTTGAGTCCAAGAGCATGTGCACATATATCCATACTCAAATCCCACATTATTTATATTTGTAGGTTGATATTTTATGAATCCTCAGTTCTTTATCATTAGGAGCTCACTGGGGCTTATTGTAGAGCCCATGTTGTCAACATTCTAACAGAAGAAAATGTGACTTTTATACATCTTAGCCTGTCTTTTCTTCTTACCTGAAATGTCAGCAAAATCACAATATTGATTCAGGGGCCTTAGAATGATTTCCATGGTAACCAGCTGCTATTTAAAGAGAGGATTATGACTTCCTAGTGAATAAACGTAAAAGGAAGTGGACTTGAGCAAAAATAGCTTTTCAGAATTAAGAAAAGGAAAGAAATTTGAACACACACAAATCACAGAAAGGCAAAGAGTAAGCTTTGGTGTTTAAAAGTTGTTCTATCACATTCAAATATACATTGGCATTCAAGAAGGATCTTCTACCATAGTAATGCCTCTAAAGTTTTTTTTTCAGTGGATACTATAAACTTACAATTAGACAACTACAAATATTTAGATAGTTGGGGTTTTTTGTTTGCTTGCTTGCTTGCTTTTGTTTTTGTCTCTCTGGGGAGGTTGTTTTTGTCACAGAATAAAAGAAAAAGAGTTCTCTAGGAAGAACAACAGGTCACATGAGCTGCTTCTGGTCAGTCATTCAACCAAAGACACAGCTATTCAGTTTTCCCTCTGTCATCATCCTGTCTTTAGAGAACCAATTCCCCTTTAAACACAGTAAGAGAAACAGTGCCTGGAAACAGTCAAGAGATTCCTCACAGCATGAAGAGGCAAGTACCAAACAAGACTACTTTTTCTAAACTTTGAGATATTATCGACGGTACCAAAATATAAATGGTGACATTCCTCCCTCATAGCTTTATTATGACTTGGTGTGTCAATGTTAGTGGTGTGTATGGAGAAAATAAATTGCTAAAGGAATATAAGCTTAATACAATATTAAATGTCATTAATAGTTTTTGCATCAAAGATATTCAAAACAACTATGGAAGGGAAAAACAGGATGCATTCCCTGGAGATGAGGATGGTTGGGAGTGAATTTGTGGGTGCAAGAAACTAAACCTGGCTTCTCAGCAAGAGCAGCACATGCTCTTAAACACTGAGCCATATCTCCAACCCAGAGTTAATGTTTTCACCATGAAAAGCTATGTTAAATCATCCAAATTAGTCATCTCAATTTAGCTGTCATACAATATATGCATATTACAAACCTGCACAGTAAATGTGACAAAGTGTAAATATTTTTATTCATTCAATTTTCATTTTATGAGTATAAGTTTTTGTCTACATGTGTGTGTATAGCATGTGCATGCTCAGTGCCATAGAGGTCAGAAGACAGCGCTGGAGTACTCGGACCTGAAGTTACAGATACTCATGAGTTGCCAGGTGGGAGCCAGGAAGAAACCTGGAGCCTTTGCAAAAGCAGCCAGTACTCCTAACTACTGATTCATCTCTCCAATCCCAGGTCTAAAACAATTTGAATATTAAAAATATATAAATATAAATAGGTATGATAATCTATTTGCTATACTCAGATATTAATACATATTCTCCAGGACTATTTCTTTACAAAAAAATGAGAAACCATTTTTTGGAATTAATATAATCATACTAGTTTCTGATGCCCTCTTCCAGAAATGATTGGTGGAATTTAATTTAATTTATTTAATTTCTGTCAATG